AATTTTCCAGGGCAGAATACTATCCATTTCATAATTGATTTTATCTTCTATATAAGCTCCCGATTAGAAACAATTGGGGTTTCTGAATCCAAATCGATTATCTCTGTATGATTTTGCAAAAAAAAAAAAGTAAATTAATCAGTGTTTTAAAAAAATTGAAGCAGTAATAATAAGGAGTCATGAGAGAGAAAGTCACTAGAGAAAGGAGGAGGTTCTCAAGGATTGTCTTCTTCTAGAGTCGAGAAAACACAGTCTCTGTTGAAGATTCCGAGTTCACAGAGCAATCGGTTGCTCTTCACATATGATTTGAAATTGTGGGTGTGTACCATATTCACATATTCACCTTATAAGCACAGAAAAAATAACATAATTTCATCATTTTTAAGTCATAATTAAAAAAATGTTATAATCAAATACAAAAAGGTTATAACTAAATATCTCAACATAATGTTATAGGTAAAGAAAAAAATGGATTCACCATTTCCTTCGTGTTTGTGAAAGTTGACTCTCAGGTGGGAATCACCAAAATGTTATTCTATTTCATTGTGAGAGAGGGGGTTGGCCGCTCTTGTCATTTCTTTTAGTTAGTTTGTTGATTTTTAGAAAGTTGCACAGTGGATAAAAAAAGACTCTTGAAATTGTTCATCGGGAGGCTCCTAAAGTTGCATTTAAAATTTTCGGCCTTATTGTTAAATTATATGACCATAGAAATAATTCCCCAGGGAGAAAACATCTTCAAAGAGAAAATAAGAAAAATATAGAACATAGAAAAATGAATCACTCACTTGCAAAACCTAAAAGGAAAATGAATGTTTATCAGAAGCAATATTGTTTGAATTTGATAAATGACTTGCTAATGCTAACATTTCATACCATAATATATAGTTGTGCACTTGGAGTGCTCTTTGTTATCGCTTTATTTTTATCATGAAGTTCACTTAATTTGACCATGTTTGAGAATGTAGCTAAAATTGCTAGTGCGGCAGAGTCCATGTCTTTTGCACTGTCTGATTTAAGGGCATTTAATGTCAACTTTTATAAGCATGTAATGTCTCTGTCCATATCCTAGCCATAAAAGTGGACTGTCAACAAGCTGGTCCTGTTATCTCTTTAATTTGAGCTGCCTGTCAATCACCATGTTGATTGAGTTTGATTTTTCAAGATCCTTCCATTGTGGACTTCCATGCTACAAAGTAAAGTCCTTGAGTTTCATTGAAATCTATACACTTGATTGGAACATGAAACATTCAGGAAGTGTTTTGTGGTTGTGTGTGTGTGGAAAGCACAGTAGTTTCATCTGCATCAAATTTCTATTAGATTTTTTTTTTTTTTTTTTTGATGGGAGGGTTCTAATGCTTTATTTCCAGAATGCTGTCTTGGCTTTGGAATCTTCAACCTTGGACATTGATCAAGTAGAAAATTTCATTAAATTTTGTCCTACAAAAGAAGAAATGACAATACTGAAGGTACACTCCCATACCCTCTTCTTACCCCTCTCTCTCTCTCTCTCTCTCTCTCTCTCTCTCTCTCTCTCTCTCTCAATTTGTTGGTTTTGAGTTGTAATTATGTGATATTTTGATGTCATGGTATGTATTTGACTTAGGCATGTATTGAAAAATGAAAAGGTTTTGTATTAACTTAAAAATTACTCATTTGTTGGTTTCTTGAGCTGTGGTACACTTATATCTGGTTTACTCCTTTCTTCTTCTCTCTTAAGATGATTTCAAAATTACGTCAACTATTTTATTGGTTTCTTACTGATTTTTCTTTCTTTCAGAACTACAATGGGACCAACGATATGCTTGGAATGTGTGAATAGGTTTTTGTTTTGTCTTGATGATGGAGGGAAGGGAAGTGCAAAAATCCTGTATATGTATTGCTAACAAATTTTGTGCTTGATGAACATTTCAGTTTTTCCTGGACTTTATGAATGTCCCGCGAGTGGAGTCCAAATAGCGAGTATTTGCATTCAGAATTATTTTTTCCAGTCAGGTATATTGATTTAGGACTTTTTTTTTCGTGTGTGTGTGTGTGTATTATCTGAGAACAAATGCTATTATTATTTCTAGCTGTATGTGCTTATAGCTTCAAACTTGTTCAGGTGAGTGACTTAAGATGTAACGTCACAATTAATGCTGCTGCTAGAGAGGTACTTCCTTTATTGAGGGTTTGTGAAGTTAGTACTAGTGAGAAATCATTTTCAGTACCTTAATATCATTCCTGTTATTGTAGGTCAAAGAATCTGCAAAATTGCGTGAAGTAATGCGGACGATTCTCACTTTAGGAAATGCATTGAACCAAGGCACTGCTTGAGGAATTATTCTGTGAGATTGAAGTTTGTTATGATCTATATGAGATATTTTGTTTAGTGGAAAGCTTTTGGCATTGATGTCCTCCTTTGTGTTTCAAGATCTGCGATAGTATTCAAATTGAATAGCCTACTTAAGCTGTCTGATACTTGTGCAAGGAACAATAAAATGACTTTGATGCATTATTTGTGCAAGGTCAGAATGTCAAAATTCTCACTTAAAAAATGCCTCATTGAATTTTTATTTGCATATGTATGAATTATTTTATAGTTAATGATGACTTATCTTGCCGAGCTCACCATCATTTAAGTCAGTAATCGCTCAATCATAGCGACCTCAGGAGCTTGATTTATGCCCAGGAGTAGGCATAAAATGTTTTCTGTAAAAGAGAACAATTTAGAAATATGCTTGAAAGGAAAAATGCTCACTCTTCTTTTTGTAAAGGAATTTTTGGTTACTACTTGCTAGATATTTGTCTGATAACACGTAACACTGAAGTTTTCTTTATGAAACAAAATTTGTTTATCTGACATTCTTGAGTTTTTAGAGAGTAATTTTGTATGTACAAATTTATAATGGTTCTTTAAATTGCTTTGCATGTATTAACTGTTTTCTCTTCTTGAATAGTTCACCATATGTGTTTAACAGCTTCCATTTTGTTGTGCATGTTCCACATCTTTTTTGTATTTTATTCTTTCAATGTTTCTTTGAATTCTTGTGTGATGCTATGTCAATTGCTTTGCTGTCTTCATTAACTCATTGCTGAGAAGATACCAGAGTTGCTGAATTTTGATAAGGATCTCGTTCATTTGGAAGCAACCTCAAAGGTTTGCATTTTTTTTAATGTAATATGTGAATGGGGTGTCTCTAGTTGAGTTGTACAATTTATTGCTTGCTCCATCTGCATATCAAATGGCCAGATCCAATTGAAGTCTTTAGCTGAAGAAATGCAAGTTGTGAGTAACGGTCTTGAAAAGGTTGAGCAGGAATTCACTGCTTCAGAGAATGATGGTGCCATCTCTGCAGGCTTCCAAAAGGTAGGGGACATACTTGGGACACTAGGTTACTTTTTTTTTTACAGATTTATGTTGGATCTTCATAGATGTACATAATTCTAGTTTGATGACAAAACTGGTGTATGTTTGTTGACGGTGATGCTGAGATATAAAATAAAGGGGATTTGCCAATACTGAAATTATCTTAGTGGAAAATTCAATAGTAAATTTGGTTTGATTTTGCTGAGGAATATTAGCCATGCTGACGTTAAGTTGATGATGGTGCGGTAATCAGTTAGAATAAATGAAAAGTGGACTTGGCAGAAATTTTCTAGTGGAAGTCTTAGTTGAGGTTGGGAGAGTGTTGTAAGCAATGTAAATTCTATCATCATCATCTTTGTGGTACAGAGGCTCGGTCACAGTTATCAAAGTCAAAATCACTTTTAAACAATTATTGAAAATGAAATCATATCCATATGGCTTGCACAAGAATCTTAACAGCGTCATTTGTTCGTATGTTTCAGATTCATGTCATGTAAGTTTGTGTTTTCTAGTTATGGAATTTAGTTGTTTTACTTTGAAACTATTATGGTCTCTGTTATTGCTTCTCCTTGATTTTGAATGCCAAGTCTTTAAATTGCATAGAAGTCGAATTACAAGAAGAAGAAAAAAAAGTTGTTTTTAATGCAAAGCTAAGAATCAGTACTTGACCTTTCAGGCCTTGAAGAATTTCCTTGATACTGCTGAAGCTGAAGTAAGGTCACTTATCTCCTTGTACTCTGACGTGGTGAGCCTTCTTTTTTTCTCTTGTTAAAATCTGCAGGTTCTTGCTTAGTTAAGTTTACTTACACATTTATCTTGCTGGGAAGAAGTGCAGATTCATTGTCTCAGTATTTTGGGGAGGATCCAGCAAGGTGCCCTTTTGAACAAGGTTTGGTTTTATTTTCCACATTTATGTACTTAATTTTCTATTGCTATCAAGTAGGGAAGTTCACTTTATTTCTTTTGATCTGCCACAAGGATTATGTTAGAGATGTATCTGTATGTAGGTTAGATTAGATGATGAAGTGAAAATGCTAACATATTTCATTGCATGAGTCTAGCTAACTTGGTTAAGGCACTACAACAATTTACACTTTTGGCGACCAAATTTGGCGACTAAAAAACAATTTAGTCACCAAAAATGTCGCCTTTCGCGACTAAAATTTTTTTTAGTCGGCGTTGGTTTAGGGTATAGCTACTAAATTTTTTTAGTCAATATATATCACTTATTGGCAACTAAAAAGTTTATTAGTTGCCGTTAGTGCACACTTTAGGCTACTGAATCTGTTTTTGGTCGTCTATAATACTTTTTGCCGACAAAAAAAAAATAGTCGCCAAAAACAGGCATATTATTATGATTTCTCTTTGGCGACCAAACAAATTAGTCGGAAAATATTAAGTTTTGGTGACAAAATAAAATCAGTCATGCTTATATTACTTTTTCCGACCAAAACGTTTATTAGTCGTCAAATTAAAACTTTGGGGGACAAATATTTTAGTCGCAGTTGATTTCGATTTGGCTACAAAACTTAATAGTCATCCTAGATATACATTTTCTGACAAAAACTAAATTTAGTCGATAAACGTAAAAAATAAATAAATAAATAAAAATAAAAAAAAAGAAGAAGAAGAAGAAAAAGAGGGAATTCATTTATTGGCTCTTGCCCCTTTCTCTGTTAGACAACAAGGCAGTTCAAAACTCTCACAGATACTGTCCTTCACCACCAAACCTCACAGAAAAGCACCTGTCCGCAGCCCACCGTACGGAGCACATCGCCACGGCCACTGTCGCAAATCACCACCGCCACAGCCTCAGATCACAGGTTCTCTCTCTCTCTCTCTCTCTCTCTGTCTCTCACTCTCTGTCTATCTGTCTCTCTCGCGCTCTCTCTCTCTCTGAGTCTCTCTCTCTCTCTCCCTTCCTCTATTTCCCCCTTTCTAATTGTTGCTTTAGAGTTTTATATGCTTGATTCAATTTAATTTCGTGTTGATTTATGAAATTGGTTTGGTTGTTGTAGTTTGATTTCGAAACTTCTAGGGTTTGATTTCTAGACATAAATCCCAAATTCAAGCTCAAAACAGGCCATCCAGATGGATAGCTTGGAGGATCATCTTTTTGGTAATACTTGACTATGAAATGCAATCCTTAAATTTAATGTATATTATATCTTTTACTTAAATCGATTTGTCCTTGTTTATTTGAACATTCTCATCAAATTTATTGAAACATTGGTTGTTAGCACAGGAATTGAATCATGAATTGCAATAATCACTTTATTTATCGTAATATATAATTTTATATAGGGATATACATTAAAAATACACATGTATTTAAATAATCACACTGAATCGTAGATTCGTAGTGAATCACAATTGAATCATAAGATTCACTCAACTTATGATTCAACAATACAAATCAAATTGTTTTGGTTGAAACTCGTATCGAATCGATGTGAATTGTAAGATTCTAACAACCATGCTGTAAGTTATCTTCTGTTAGAGAAACATAATGGTGGAATTTGTAAATGATTATGTCCAGAAAATCTAAGAAACTTGCTGTTCAGGATTCTGCTCCATTTCTATCATCTACCGGAACTGGATGAATGATCAGCCAATTGTATCATTAGTTGATTTGGAGTTCTTTTTGTGGGATTTTTTAAATGAACTTCTGCATTGATTGTGTTTGGTTGCATGCTATTCTGCTCTGTTGTTGATGTGCATATTGATTTCTTTTCTGGTTTTTATGTAAGCAAGAAGCGACAATAGAGGAGAGAACAATGATGGAACACAAAAGGAGGCCCCTTTCTATTGATCAAAGCGGTCTCACTACTTTTTCACCAAAACGACACAAGGCTAATTTGTCCATCTCCTCCAAGGTTTCCTATCATATTCTACATTTGTACAATTCTCTCCTTGCATTATTGTTTTCCTTTTCGCTGTATTGTTCTTGTTTTCTTTTATGTAATTGAATACCAAAATTACATTTTGGATGGAGAATGGTTTCTAATAGTACATTTCAAACTAAAAATAAACTCGGTGAGGAACAAAACAAAAAAAATTTAAATACTGCCTTATATTCTGCCGGATTCTTCTAAGTTGTAGAAGCTGGGTAATTTGGGAGGTCTACCCAGTTTGATTGGCACATCCATTCTTTTATCATATGATGCTTGCTTTTCCATCTTTAAAATGTTCTTTTGGATGATAGGAGAGGAAAGAGAAGCTTAGCAAAAGAATTGGGGCTCTGCAACAGCTTGTTTCACCATATGGGAAGGTATGACAACTTACTCTTTCTAAGCAAAGCGTGCGAAATGTTTATTGCACTAGGCTGGAATCTACTTGAAACCTACACATTGCTTATATTCAAAGTGGAGCTAACAGAATCTATGCATCCACAGAAGAGAAAGAAAAACGATTTTTTCAATGATGATGTCGATTTAGGTTGTGATTTAGCATGTTGATGCGGTTTATGTTATGGCTTTTTCATAAAAGTTTTTTATGATTGAAATGGGTTCTATAAAATGATCAAAGCAACATGTCATTTCTTGTTTTTCATTTTTTGGGTTGTGAAAGACTGAAATTTCATTACCAATGATTGAAATGGTTCTCTCTCGGTTCGAGTTGAAATGGTAACATAGGATTCTATCTAGGGTTTCGAGCATGGTGTTGTAGTCTCCGATCGGGTACACTAGTAAGGCATTGTGGATCGTTGGTACCACAAACTCCTTAATCATCGAGATGAAGAACAAGGTCAGTTTTTCAGTTGATTTTTATTCTATACATGTCCATTCATTTTCGATCCTAATTTTGTTTTGATTTTGATGTTGTTTTCTATTTGTTGATATTGTTCCTTTTCTCTTTGTTTTCAATTTCTAAGTAGCTAATTTCGAATTAGATTTAGTTTTTGATTTAGATTTCTTTCAATTTCGTTTTCAATTCTCGTGTTTTGTTTTCATCAATAACTTCCATTCATTTCAATGGAATCTTCGTCTTCGAATATAACCCTATCTCCATCTATTTGCTTCATGATCCAGGAATCATGGTTTTTGTTTTGCTATAGTTTTGGCCCTTGAGGCTACAAGTTTCCAGTTATGTAGTGGAGGTGTTTGTGGCAAGGTCTCTGAAAGGATTTTGGGGTATCCTTTTGTTTTGTTTTGTTTGTGCTTACCTTTGGAAGTGTTGAATACCTTAAGAGACAGTTTTCAGCTATTCTTCACTTTCTGATTTCCTTGGTGGGTTTCTCAATGGAAGTCTTCTTCCATATCAATGATCTGAATCTATATAGATGGATAAACTTGTGCACGAAGCTAAATTGTACAGGACTAATTGGCACTTGTTACATTTTTTGAAGAATTATATATTTTTGCATAGATTTGTATCGAAAATATTTGGGTAGTACAAGTTATATTTTTTAGATGCATATGGATAAAAATTTAAAACATAATACCTAATTGTTATGTTTTAAATTTTTATACTAGATGGATGTGAATTGGATGATTATATGGATTTCACGACCTTTTTAATTGGACGATTATGTAGTTTGGAATTACTTGTGGATGAAAACTTATAATAGTTGATGACTTTAATTAAACAGGTTAATATTGGCTAATTTATGTATTTTGTTAGATATTCATGATTCAATTAATTTTGTTGGTTTGAATGATTCTTGCAAATTATAGGTTATATTAAATGATTTGGATGGATTATCATATATTATACAGGTCAAAAGGAATTGTTTTTATATTCTATTTCTATTTTAAAAAACAAAAAGAATTGAATTGGTGGCCAAAATTTGATTTGGTTTTTCCTCTTTTGGCGACTAAGTGATTAGTTGGTGTTTCACCATTCACATTTGACGACCAAAATGTTGGTAGGCGAAAGGGTACATTTGTTGCAACGACATGACCACTATCGCCAATGGTTCTAATGTTTTTTGCGAAGATGTGGTGCCGTCGCAAAAACAAATCAAAAAAACTTGCAATAAAATTATTAAAAATATTAAAATTACCTGTTTTTTGCGACGGTGTGGTGCCGTCGCCAAAAAAAAAATGCAATAAAATTATTAAAAATATTAAAATTACCTATATTAAATAAAAAATAATTGAAGAAGAAATCAATAATTGCATAATAATATAAAAATTCCTGTATAGAAATAACAATTTCTCCATAATAAAAATATTATTGCATTCATAACTACACATCAACAAAATTACCCCACTACAAAATGTTCCATAATACATATATAATGTTTAAATACATAATGTTGTTCATAATTCAAAATAACATAAACCAAAATTAAAAGTTTTCCTCATCATTCTCCGTAGGTAACAAAAACAAAAGTTAGTCGCATTCTTCACAGGCATGCATTCCACAAGAAACAAACTCCTACTCGGGAAATATCTAAAAACAAAAAATAAAAATAATTAATAACAATATAATTATGTGTTAATATGTTAATTACAACAAAACATAAAAATTTAACCACTATACAATTACAAAGATAATTAAGTAAATAATTTTGCCTAGACCGAAATCCAGCACTAACTCCCAAACCTGGAACCTGATTTGAGTCTCGTCATCTCCCACAAGTCTTTCGTGCCTAGGTGGTCGTGTGTGCCAAGTTTCGTGCTAATCCAATGCCGTTTGGTGATTTTGGGGCGTCAATACCTTGATTTCTAAGTTTCTTAAGGAACTAGTTTGCCTAAATCGAAATCCGGCTCTAACTCCCAAATCGGGAACCTGATTCGAGTCCTGTCTTCTCCCACAAATCACTCGTGCCAAGGTGGTCGTGTGTACCAAGTTTCGTGCTAATCCGATGCTGTTTGGTCATTTTGAGACGTCAACACCTCGAATTCTAAGTTTCTTAAGGAACTTGTTTGCCTAGACCAAAATCCGGCTCTTACTCCCAAACCAGGAACCTGATTCGAGTCTCATCTTCTCCTACAAGTCTCTCATGCCAAGGCAGTCATGTGTGCCAAGTTTCGTGCTAATCCGATGTCGTTTGGTGATTTTGGGGCGTCAACACCTCGAATTCTAAGTTTCTTAAGGAACTAGTTTGCCTAGAGTGAAATCCGGCTCTAACTCCCAAACCGGAAATCTAATTCGAGTCCCATCTTCTCTAGGGCTGCAAATGAATAGAGCCGTTCGTGAACAGGCTCGAGCTCAGCTTGGTAAGAGCTCGTTCGCACTCGGTTCATTAATTTTGTTTTGCGTTCGAGCTCGAGCCCGAGCTCGTTAAATTTTTAATAAACAAGCCCAAACATTCTAAAGCTCCCCTTGTAAGCTCGGCTCGTTAGCTGGCTCGTTTAATATTTATTATTTATATATTAAATAATATAAAAATATGTATAAAAAATAAGAGAAATATGCTATTTATATATTTAAAAAATATAAATGTAAATAATAGTTAACTATAGATAGTACATTTATATAATAGTAGTAGTAGATATTATTATTTTAGTAAAATATGGATTTTTTTTAAGTATGTTTATATATATTGTATATATAATTGTATAATCAAAGTTTTTATTGTAACTTTAGTCTCACATGCAAGTATGAATTTATAAATTTTTTGGCTCGTTAAGGTTCGTGAACAAACCCGAGCTCGAGTCGAGCCTAAGCCAACTCGGCTCGAGCTCAGTTCGTAAATTTTTATTCAACTCGAGTTCGAACTCGTTAAAATCTTAATAAACAAGTCCAAACATACTAAGGCCAAGTTTGGCATGATTGAAAAAAGACAAAAAGTTAAAAAGTCACTATCCTATTTAAGTCACATCATCCCACAAGTCTCTCGTGCCTAGGCGATCGTGTATGCCAAGTTTCGTGCTAATCCGACGCCGCTTGGTGATTTTGAGACGTCAACACCTCGAATTCTAAGTTTCTTAAGGAACTAGTTTGCCTAGACCGAAATCCGGCTCTTACTCCCAAACCGGAAACCTGATTCGAGTCCCGTCTTCTCCCACAAGTCTCTCATGCCAAGGCAATCATGTGTGCCAAGTTTCGTGCTAATCCGATGCCGTTTGGTGATTTTGGGGCGTCAACACCTCAAATTCTAAGTTTCTTAAAGAACTAATTTGCCTAGAGTGAAATTCGGCTCTAATTCCCAAACCGGGAACCCGATTCGTGTCCCTTCTTCTCCCACAAGTCTCTCGTGCCTAGGCAGTCATGTGTACCAAGTTTCGTGCTAATCCGACACCATTTGGTGATTTTGGGGCGTCAACACCTCAAATTCTAAATTTCTTAAGGAACTAGTTTGCCTAGACCGAAATCCGGTTCTAACTTCCAAACCAGGAACCCGATTCGAGTTCCATCTTCTCCCACAAGTCTCTTGTGCCTAGGCGGTCATGTGTGCCAAGTTTCGTGCTAATCCGACGCCGTTTGGTGATTTTGGGGTGTTAACACCTTGAATTCTAAGTTTCTTAAGAAACTAGTTTGTTTAGAGTGAAATCCGACTCTAACTCCCATACAAGGAACCCGATTCGAGTCCCGTCTTCTCTCAGAAGTCCCTCATGCCTAGGCAATCGTGTGTGCCAAGTTTCATGCTAATCCGACGCCATTTGGTGATTTTGGGGCGTCAACACCTCGAATTTTAAGTTTCTTAAAGAACTAGTTTGCCTAGAGTGAAATCCGTCTTTAACTCCCAAACCGAGAACCCGATTTGAGTCTCATCTTCTCCCACAAGTCTCTCGTGCCAAGGCGGTCGTGTGTGCCAACGCCGTTTGGTGGATTTGGGGCGTTAACACCTCGAATTCTAAGTTTCTTAAGAAACTAATTTGTCTAGAGTAAAATCCGACTATAACTCCCAAATCGGGAACCTGATTCGAGTCTCGTCTTCTCCCACAAGTCTCTCGTACCAAGGCGGTCGTGTGTGCCAAGTTTTGTGCTAAACAGCGAAATAAAAGGAAAAAATAAAACTGCGTGTAAAATGGGTACATTTATGAGCATCAGTAATTTGTACATAAAAATTGTCATGGCGCTAGAGAGATACCTTTGCAAACTCATCTTCCAGATTATCAAACAGTTGAGCTTTAGCTTTGCCCATCATAGCAGGCATCGCCTTCTTAAGATGCCCAATAATGTAAGCATGAATCTTGGCAGCTCTGGCACGTTTCACGAATTCATTGATCTGTGCAGGACAAATGTCATCAGGGTCGCTCACAAAATTTTTGGCTAAATTTTTGCTTGTTTACACATGCAAAAAACAGTCATACTAACATTAAAAAAAACTCAAAAGAGTTTACTGCATTGGACTCACTTGACGATCACAGGCCTTCTTGGGTATGCCTTTTAAATCAGAAAAAAGATCATCCTGTTCTTTCTTGAAAAGTTCTTTGCCAGTTGGACCCGCAACAGCTTCATTTACAGGTTTCTCATTGAATGAGCTGACAAAATCATGAATAAGAATTTAACTATTCAGCCTAGGAGCATTTGATATTCCAATTTTTTTAGAAAAAAGCAAAAAGAAATACGAACCAACAAAAAAAATCCCATTTATTCTCCTCTTTCAAAAAAAAAGTAAAAGTAAAAAATGATGCAATGACCATAAGATTGAGACCCTACCCAATTTAAACACGGTTAACCTCAGGAGTATTTAGAACTTTACCAAGTGACCACATCAATGCTCCATATACCCTCATCAGCTACATCATAAAGCCATCAGTATGCAGATTAGATTGCTATTACCAGACAGCAGACACTGACACTCAGAGATCAATTCGGTATGTCAAATAATATCACAGTACACTATTCTTACTTGTTGGGTATCAACTTGATCTGACTTGTTCAAAACCACGCGTATCTTGTCATCATGACCTCGTAGAGATGAAATCACACGTTTGAATTCATCACTGATGTCAAGTTTATGAGGATCAAACAGTAGTAGAATGAGGTTGCACTTTGCAGCAAACCAAGATGTCACACCAGTAAAATCATAGCTTCTGTGTGTTCGTTGCTTTTCTCCTGCTAAAACTCCAGGAGTATCAACAAATGTTGTGTGCTCCAGCAGCTTCAGATAGTCAAAATAAAAAGTGTTTCAGATCATATAATTATACGGAGATAATTGAAAGAATTTTAATTGAAGTTACAGTATATACAACAACTAACCGGATGTGGCATTTGGGAACACTCAAATTTTGACAGAAATGAAGTTCCAAATGTTGTCAGACCGCTAAATGGCATATCTGCTTGAACAGCAATAGTGTTCCCTGCAGGTCCATTCTGTACAGAAGCATAATTAACTAGTAAAACTATTGAACAAAAAAATACAATCATGAAAGGAGGGAAAGAATTATATGGCTCTTACCAAATCAATATGTATGATAAGTCCAGGAGAAAGAGCTGATTAAAAGCGTACTTAACAATTATGTTACATGGACTCAGGTGGGGTGTTGGCAGTAGATACGTATCTGTGTGGATTCATCTAAAAGATTAGGTAGTTATCTTCAACTTGTTGATTAAGGTTGATGCTCTTTATTTATTTGGGGGCTTTGATAGGATGTACCAACACAAAAAATTATAAAGGCTTCATTAGATCAAAGGGTTGATATCAAATATT